TAGGGAATTGATCCAGTTTTAGGCCAATGAAATCCACTTGTCCTCTGGATAACTTCTGATTGCCATCGATTGATCTCCTCATTAGTCTACTTCTAATTGGTTTACCATATCAGAAACTAGATATTAGCTGGAATGATGAATGTCTAAACTGACAAATTATTGAATATTTATTCCTAAAAATCATAAAAAAAATGGTGCATTATAGTTATTATTAATGGCTTTATTCAATATAATATTTCGGTACAATATAGAGCTCATTCATAAACGAGGAAATAAAATGGTAATTTAGATGAAATTAAATTATCAATGTCATTTATCACTTTACGAGTACAATTACTACACATCAATATTAATCTCACTCGGATAAACTTTAAGCATCCCGACTATCTGTCTCTTTTCATTTAACTGTTCTCTTTTATTAACTTCTGTCATTTGCTAGTCTGATTCCATCTCAGCTGTCCGTGTATCCTTTTTTTTAGATAAGTAGCGTTGATAAATTTGAGTAGCGTACTCATTAAGATTATTGATTATTCTTGTCTTAAAATGATACTTAGATCTGATTGGCCAATAATTTGGGTAAATAACAGCAACATCTAATTCAACCATTGATTTGTTTACAAAGTTGAACATTCTTTTCAAAAGATATTTTCATTTTTCCTATAAACACTCTATGTAAATACATACGTATATATTGCCCAAAGGAATATTCATATTTAGGGAAGAAATGAATTAACTAACATATTTATACCATCAGTAGAAATTATCTATTGAATTAGTTTATTCAAATGAATCAATATCGGAAGGAGCAAAATGGTCGTTTGCTTTGTTCATTCTATGACAGAGTAGAAATATATATAATTTGATTGAATGTTTCTTGTTGTGTAGTTCCGTATACGTATGTATGTTTATCTGTGTGTTTAAGCTTTTTACATATTGAACGTTTGTCATCTTTTCTCCGGTACAATAATAAGTAAGTATACCTATACGATTATAAAATAATGGAGGAATAAAAGAAATTGAGCAGTTGATTGTGACTATGTATTCGTGCTTTAAGTCTTGTCCATTCTATTTAACTAGTATTAAATACACGCACAAAAAAAAGAAACAGTAAAATGCTCCTATTAACTAATGAAATAACAAAGATTTTTTGTATGAAATAACTGTATCGTTGTAGGCACAGCTATTTAACCATTAGAATAACACATATAATCAAATAATGTTATTTTCAGTCAAGTCTTCATCAGCTATGTATGTAAGAAAAGAATTTGGACTAATCAAGACAGTTTATGAGCCAGTGATAACAATAAAACAAAGGATTACATAAGTAATCTTGATAAGTACGAAGTGCAAACTAATTTTAAAACGATAAGTGTATTGTTAGTGATAGGGATAATATGTTGACATAGGTGGTAGGTTAGTGCTTTAAAAAATAAACTTTCTAAAATAATAGTTGAAAGGAAATAATTTCTATCCAAAGTAGGAACGACAGAGATATCATAAACGTTTTCTGAATACAAGGTCTATGGTTATCAGTTTAAAATCTATATTAGCTTCCACCATATGTAAGATAAAGTAAACGCCACTCTGAAAATTTGATGATATTTGATAAATCACTTTGAATACTTTGATTCTGTCTTGCTCATAACTACTATCCACTAAATGTGGTAAAACAGATCTGTGTATGACTATTGTCAGACCCTCTGAAAACCATGGGAGGAAGTAAAACTGTCTGATTGTAAGCCCGATATAGCTTTATCTTTAGCAATTACGCATTAATGTGGAAATATCATGTACATTACGATAACTGACGTTATTGATATTTTTGAATACTTAGCAGTAAATAATGTACGCAATTTTCAATCAACTTTAGTATAAACGTGATTCTTCTGTAACACTAAGAAATTTTCAGTCAAACGCAGACAGATTCTCTCCAGCAAATTGTAAAAAACCCTTCACAAATCCAAGTAACTAATCAGGTTCTTGAGTTAATGTCGAGGTTTGTTATCTCCTCCGTCTATGTAAGCCATGGTGACTAGAGTGGCTTTTTCTCAATCCCTTTTTCAATTGTTTTATTTTGCTGATGCATTCGCGGTGGTTTCTGTCTTCAATAATTGTGTTGTGTTGTTCAGTGTCCGACTTCGATACTCAAGCTTCCCATACACGAGCCCCACCATCTACTCAAGTAAGAAGACGAAGAGTGAGACGGAAGTTTTTATGGGTGAATTAATCCTTATATGTATATATTCATTTATATGTACACTCCTATCTCTTAAAGAAAATAAGCCATCGTCCCTTAGAAATGGTAGGCACTTCTTGGCCAACCATACACACTTATTTGGCCGATTGCTGATTAGCCTACAACAACAAAATGCTATGTGTATAACATTTTATATATGGACACTTTGTATAAAAAATAAGCAGAAGTATTTGAATTTTAATAGTTGAGATTATGAGTCATTTAAAGCTAGACCACCATGGAAAACCTGGAAGCTCTGGATGGCCATTTCGTCCCATTGTGGGACTCTTCACCAGTGCTCATTCACTATCCCGCCCCGTGAGATTCGAACCCAGGACCTATCAGTCTCGAAGTATTTTAGATAATGACCTGAATTTAAGATATTGTTTAAAAAAACAATATATTTCACATACCCACTTAATGAACATCACACATCACAGTTTTTCTATGTAACAACCTCAAAGAGTTTCCCGTACTATGTATTTGTTTGTCCGCAGTCAGACATATGTTGTTATTAGTTCGTTGATGCTATTTTCTTGGAGGGTTTGTAAAAATGTTGTAAACATATGTACATTATATTTGGACGATAAAAGCTAGCTCATTTTATCTTATTTTTTCTTGGATTCAATTCAGTTTTCTAGTCAACATTTGATCTTTTTTTCTTTCGGAGCCAAGCAATTAGATATGAAATTCCCTACGCCTATTGTTCAAGGTAGTTGAAATTTGATGTAATAAGCGAAATTTTTACTGTGACTTACTCAATCGGTTCATGATCTCAATCAAAAACTTAATAATCTCCACAACCCCTATACTAGTAATTAACATGTGCTCACTAGTGACTAGCTTCGTGAGGGAATTCTCGGAGTTCTAGTGAGAAGCCGTGACCAGTGGAGCTAATCCTTGTCGGGTAGAGACAGTTATCTACCTCAGTACAATGGAAGTTGGTCGCGCAATTTCGTGGATTGGTTGATGTTAGAAACTATCACCGTTGGATGCCGGCTCAGTGGTCCAGTTGGTTAAGCGTTCGCGCGCGAGACCGAAGGCTCTGGGTTCGAATCCCGCTCGCGGGGTCGTAGATGCGCGCCGCTGAGGGGTCCCGCAATAGGGCGAAACGGCCGTCCAGTGCTCCCAGGTTTTCAATTGTGATGCTCTAACATCAATCGGTTCATGATCTCAATCAAAAACTTAATAATCTCCACAACCCCTATACTACTCTTCTATTGTTTACAAAACAGAATAGCTTGTAATACTGCAGGTATGATACAGAAACTAATGACGTATATCGTTCCATTTCTGTAATATTCTGATGAGGACACATTAAATAAACACTGCAATAATGTCATAGATTTTAGTTACCGGTGAAAATTGTTCATTACTTTTGATTAACTGACATTTATTAGAAATATTGGATGAAATGTAGATGACGTTGAAATATAGTTTAATCATTAAATGATAGGTTTAAAGAGATTTATCCTTGGACTATTGTTGTGTTCCACTTTTGGACTCCTTTCCTATGAGAACCCTTAGTTCTAGATAGAAAAGAACGAATACCATTCGATTCTTAAGATTATCACTTTCGATTTCGACTAATTATTCACAATGTTTAACGTTGGTTATATGATCACATCGGTGATGTTTGTCTCTCGATATGGAAGACTAAATCAGTCGGAAATTCTTATTTTTAGCTTCAGAATTTCATCTCTACTCTAGTCACTAGTGAACATATGATCATTCTACCAAAAGTTGATGATCTACTCATTTCACCACTTTTAAAAATAAATCAGTAGTTTTTACTAATGATATTAAATGATAGTCTCACCATCATTTTTTACCTAGTTTCGGAAAAAACGTACCATGTTCGTAAATAAGTTTAAATTCAGGTACGTCTAGCTGACAAGTCTCAAATAGGACGAAACGTGCGTCCTAGATTCCACTGCTAGTCATCATCCACCTTTGCTAATTAATTTAAAGGTTTTTGATTTAAATCTGCTGAGTTTGTGTTTTTCTTTACTGGTTAACAATTTCAAAAACAACGGCGAACCAATGCTACTATCCAGTGTTTCCCAATTTTTAATGGATACTTTAGATGACTTTATGTCTATGATGAAAATTAACTTGTTAGTAATAGAGAGTCTGTGAATATTACTTATATTTACAGTTCACATCATGGGCTTATATATGTCAGGCGACCATTGAAGACAAAGAAGCATTGAACAACTATTTCATCTTAGTATGAGTTTCCTCAGTAGTGTTTATCCATGACCCTATCAGGGATTGAACCAAGAACATGGTCTTCAGACAGGTCTTAACCTTTAGACCATTGAATTGGAATCTGATAGTTAGGATGTCTAACTTCAATCAGTTCGTGATATTGCACAACCATTTTTCAGTATCATTGGGTGGAGTAAATGCTTCGCGTACAATACGGTTAAAGTCCGTTTGTCATGGCCTCTTATTAGAACACTAAGAATTACCTCTTGAAAGATGGCATTAGTGAGTATATTATGTCCACCAGTTTCTAGTTTTCATTAGTTATTTGTGATAGAAAACTTCAAATTTCCTATACTATAAAGTTAAATTAATCAATCAATCATCTTTACATTTTTTCAAAATAAAAGCTTTTTTTCTTCTTTAAAGCTTACTATCCCCTTGGCAAGTATTTTCTATGTATAGTAAAACAACGAATGAAATGGATTAATATATATATATATTATTTGATTGTTACTGTTTTATTGTTTACTTTTTTTCTCAATTTTGTCGATAGAGAATTAAGTGTACTTGTTGAACCAAGAGAAACAGGTCAAGTTGAAATGCTTGTTTCTTATGTGGTAAATCGTTGTGGATGGAAACCAGCTTATGATATTCGTATTTTTAACAATGATGGAACAATGAAAGTAAGTTCTTTTTTATATTATTAAAAATGAATAAGAATTTAATTACTTTTTATAACCCTTGTATCTGACTCCAGTTAAATCTCATGCCAACTGTTATCGAAATATACATGTTGTCAATCCTCATATATTTATATCGACTTAATTCGCGTTAGAAAATAACGGAATAAAATAAGCCAAATATGAGAATGAACTAAGAACACGTATGTTTCATACATCCATTGATCCAGACAGACAATCAGAGAAACGAAGCGAAACGAAATGAAGTGACACATGCAGCGGAGAAGGCGAGTGAACCAATTCGATTTGAACAAAAATAAGTTACAGACACGTGATGAATAGGGTGAGCAGCTAATGACACATACAATCATATAAAAACAGTCAGGGTTAATAAGCAAATAATCAAGGTAAAAATATGGTTGGAGAAGAATGAATAAATTAATCTGGCCAGAAGCTAGATTAACCTTGTGTGGTTGACATAGTATCAGTCATTACAAACTATTGTTAAAAGGAGTATGTCACTTAATTAAATCTTAATTCACTAAAATTTCAAAGTTAATTTCCTTTGTTTAATTTACTTAATTGACAATAATTCATTTCATTTCCAATTATAATTTCATAATAGAAATAATGTTGACTGTGACCATCATCCAAATGATAATGATCGTTTAAAAGATATCGTTCCTCTTTTATATTGTATAATCATTGCACTCATTTCTTTTTAGAAGTACACTAAAAATCAATAAACTCCAGTGAAGAATACAAAAAGTAAACATACTTTGTTTGCCTTTTTCTGATAGAAAAAAGTCTAGTTGAAAGTGAACACTAACTTTGATTAAGTTGATGTTGTCACTTTCAATATGTCTGAAATTTACCCGTCCTATACTAGGATAAAATAACTGTTTAATCCTTTCAGATTTTCAATGGTATTTTAACCATGATCAGTCAGTGACGAATTAAGACAATAAGCTGGTCGATGGATATGACGAAACTAATCGCAATATTTCATTTATTGTATGATACTTTTAACAAAATGGTTATATCAACAAAAATCAACATAAGATGCATATATACCGACAGAGATTGATCAAAAGTTTTTTTATAATTATTTACAACCCTAACCAATAATCATATATTGTTCAGAGCATTTCAATTTTCAACAGTTATCTAGTGATATCAGTTCACAGTGAAAATAATCTTCATATGATTCTAACTCTTAGTGTGGTGAACAAGAACACGAGCGATAATAACTGAATGTATTTTAATACGGAATTATAGAACATCTCACTAAAATCTGAGAACCATATAGTAAATAGTTAATTTGCAAAATATCAATCCATCGTCTCAAACTTGACTGTTCCTTCTGCAAATATCAGTCCATTGTCTCAGATTTCATTGTTTATACATTTTCATACCAACTGCTTCCTGTTCTTGTTCTTTCCTCCTCGATCTTCTACTGAAATACATTCTATTCCCGACCATCGTTATATACTACTTATGTGAATATAAGTAGCTCACACCACATTACTAGTATTTCTGTGTGTATGTGTACCCTTAAAAATCATGATCATCTATATCGTAAATGCTTCATTCATCTGGTTATAGGAGCACTGGATAACTGTTGTGTTTTGGTGTTGAATTTCTAAGTAGTGCGTAGACTAATGAACTCTCACTATACGTTCGTTGTACAATATTGCAAATTTATTAAAATCGAAATTGTACCATTGGATTGATCGAAACTAAGTATAAACCATTAAATGAGTACTCAAGATTCTAAAGGTTAGGGCTTCACCCCCACAGATCTGAAAGTCCAGAGTTCGGTCTTTGGTGGCTTCGTCAGTGAGGAATGCTAGAGATCTCTAACTGTTCCATTAATTGACAATTATTTCATCATCAATCTATAGGTAGTTTCAAATATTCAAAAGTAAGCAACAAGGAATGTATGATCTGATTTCACCACTTCAATACATATCATACTGTTTACAGTTGAATAAAGGATGGTAAAGAGTAAAAAATACACTTGACAAGGCCAATTTACTCCTCTTACTGAAAAACCGAAAATGACCACAAACTTTATTTTTCTCAAGTGAAAAGAAAAAATAAACCCACAGTTAGATTTTGAAGGTTTTTGTAAACTTCCAATTCCTTATTATTAAACTTATCAAAAGTGTTAACTTCATCATGGCTTTTAAGTTTTGATTAATGAATTTCGACTTTTTTAACAAATCGTGTGTTTAATTCACTTGATATTGTTTTATTTGAATCTTCCCATTGATGTTTTTGGACTGAAATAAGAGACTGATCAATTTCAGTCCAAAAACATCAATGGGAAGATTCAAATAAAACAATATCAAGTGAATTAAACTTCAACCCATTGCACAAGCAAGTGGCTATCAGGACTCAGTAGCTAAGTGGATAACGCGATGGCGGTTGAAGCGAACGGTACTGAGTTCGAGTCTCAGAGTGAACATCAACTCTGAGATGCAGGTACATTCAGCTGACGAGTCCCAAACAGGACGAAACGCGCGTCCTGGATTCCACTGCTAGCCACTATCCATCTTTGCTTACAAATAGTGTGTTTGTTTGCTTATTTACATGTTTGTATGTGTGTGTCTGCATTTCCTGATATAACCATATTGGACTTATCAGTATAAGTTTGTGGAGATTGTTGACTTTTGATTGAGATCATGAGTTGATCAATGCTAGACCACAAATGAAAACCTGGAAGCATTGGACGACCATTTCATCCTAGTATGGGACTTCTCAGAGGTGCGCTGGACACCAAAGGTCCTAAGTTGGAGTCCCGCATGCAAGATCGTGGATTTGCACTGCTTAGGAGTTCCATACTAAAACGAAACGGCCGTCCAGTGCTCCCAGATTTTCATTGGTGGTCTAATATTGATCGGTTCATGATCTTAAAATTGGACTTATTAAATATATGTTTCGCATTTGAAATTCACGAAGTCTGTCTCGAATATAGTCACTAGTCAATATTTCATTATTATTGTTATCATGTCATGTTTTCTTGTATAGAGATAAAATAGTTTTTTATCTTGTCACATTTATGTGTTTGTGTGCTGGGTTGTAGAAACCAAATAGAATAAAAGAATAGTGATACTACACACTGGAAACAGTTTTTTTTAAACTCAATAAATAATATAGTGAAACAGCTTTGAACTGAAACTAGAATATGCTGGAATGCTTGACAAGATTAGTTTTTTTAAAACTAAAAATAATATCAAGGTATTGTAAATCTTATGAAAACTGTCATTTTTTAAAATCCAAGTTAGATATATTTGTAATCGATCTGAGGGATCATTTCTTAACCTGATTAAATCAACAAGGAAGTCGCTGAATGAGGCATTAATTTTTTTCATTTTCATCCAAGTTAGAGATAATCTTTACGGTTGACTTTCAGGTTACTATATCCTACTGTAATTTCCCAATCATCAATTATCAAATACAAAGAATTTTATACAGATTTCATTTGTAATTTATTCATCGACAAAAACTGATTTAGTAAGAGAGATAACAATAGTTAGCTTCGGGTAGTTGGTTATAATAACGTAAATTCACATCACTGGTGACCATATAGATTGAATATCAACTACCATATAAAGCATAATTGTTCGACTCCATGATCTAGACTGAGCTCAAGACCGAAAAACTTCGTGTATGGCATGTTGACCTGTGAAATTTATAACTTGCTGATTGTTAATATCGTTGGGGAGATCCAGAAAATTCCTCAAAAAGAAGACGAAAGGTGCTCTGAAAACGCTGAGAAACGTGTTATCCAATCAGTATTCAATAAATGTTTTGCCAGAAACATGTAGACAGTGAAAAGTCACATGTCGCGTTTCTGATTGGATGATTACTTATACTGCTACTATGTTTAGTAGCGTTCTAGAATTTTCCGGAAGCCAAAGGCCTAGGTTTTCTGTATATAAATGAATCTTGGAGTAAAGCATTTCTTGTATATTTCTCGCCTTTTCTCTTGTGCTCAAGTTGCTGTGTAGATTCAGCCTAGGGTTTAGGGAACTGAATCTAGCCACAATCCAAAGATCCATATAGATTCGAATATCTCAGTGCTAATTAATTGTAGAAAAAAGTACTTTGAATAAAGTGTTTCCTGTTGAGCATTTTCAATATTTTATAATGTTGATGAAACAGCCTTAACAAATGTAATTAATACTGTGATAATAAACTTTCAGATAATTTCATTTATTAAAAATGATACAGAAGACCTGGAATTCAGGTGATTACTTGTGGTATTGCTGAGTTTTCTAATCTAGATAATTCAGTTTTAATGCTTTCATTACCATACAGAAGAACATCATCGTTGTTCATTTTTATGCAGAAATGAAACAAGATCATCAAAACGAAATGATTTCACACTTACGCAATATTAACAGTTGAATCCACCAGTCGATCTAAGCTAGACGATCATTGAAAACCTGGAAGCGTTAGACGTTTGTTTCTTCCTAGTACAGGACTCCTCACTAGTGAAGTAACTAGAAAGTTTACCTCTGCATGAAGTAAATATGGATAATATTATCTAGAACAATAATGAAAGCTTCTCAGTTAAAACATCTAGTTCTGCTAATTCAGCAGTTTGCGTAATACAAAATGTCATTATGATTTATATTAACAATTATATTTCATATATTAATGATTCAAAAAATGTGTTTATTAGGTGCTACAGATCTACTCTTGTATTTCAAAAACTTTAATTCATCGTTATTAATGTTACAGCCACATTCATCCACATTTTATCATTGTAGATAATATATGAAGTGCAGGGAAATGGATAAACTGTTCATGAAGGTCACATATTATGTTCTTATTGTTAAAAACTAATCCATATTTCACCGTTGAATGATATATGATCATCTATTAACTGTCATTGTTGACTGAATGCTATGTATTTATCGATTTTAGGTTAGTCGTTAACAAAACTTGGATTCTTAGTGCATTGATTAGCATAATCATCATTATAACTTTACTGATTATAAAAAAGACAAGATAATAGAAACAACTAATCCTTGGAAATGTTATGCTGAGTATGCCTATAAATCATTATTGATAGATTAGATATCTTTAGTGGGTTTTCTTTTTTAGCTCAACTCACCTCTTGAATAGTTTTCTGTTATAAACTAACGAATTTTTGTCTTTTCGATTTCTAAAAACTAATTTTATTTCCATACCATCATTAGTAACGGTCTGAGTTATCCTATTGTTAACATTTAGGATTGAATTTTGATCAGTTTTTGTTTATATATATGCATGCTATGCAAAGTGTTTCAATATAATCACTTTTATCACACGTCTTACAAAACAGATGGATTGTACTTAGTGGTGAAATCCAGAATGTGCGTTGCATCCTGTTTGGGACACATCAGGAACTAGATTATTGAAACCCTTACTAATAATGATGTGAACAACATACTTATTGAATAATTTGAGGCTTTCTAGACTCAGTAGCTTGATGTATTTAAGGCTTTGACGTTCGAATCAAAAAGCACTAGATTTGAGTTTGACTACATATATCAAAACTGTGTGATGCAGGTACATCCAGCTGACAAATTTCAGAAAGGGCGGAACGGGTGTCACGGATTCGCCTGATAGCCACAGTTCAGTATTCCACTTTTATTTTGATCATTAGTTTCTAGATTTGAAATATTCTGTATATCTGAATTTCAAAATTTACAGGTTTTTATAAAAGCCTCACTTATAATTAAAGTAGAAATCAGTGATATTGTCTACAACAATAATTCGAGTTTCCCAAATAAGTGTGAATACCAGCTTAAACTTCGGGGACATCATTTTCTCAAAAGCGCATTTATTGTCAGAACTATTCCCCTGTTAGACTTCTTCACGAAAGCGATTTTGTCTGCTAATCACTTACACACATTCATTAAAAAGTTATTGAAGATCTAGTTACTGAGAGTTTCAAGGGTTTCTACCGCCGTGACTCAAATATCTTCCTTCTCCTCTGCCTATCAGAGAATTGGGAGGTTATTACCTTCAGATTTATGAAATAAACATGTTAGGCTAGAAAGAGCTATATGGCAGCTGTACTGATCGTAAACATTTATGAATCAATCTAGGTAGTAACTATTCACTGTTTATGAATAGCAGCCCATAATTTACTATTCTATCAATGAACTTATCTAATTTCCCCATAATTTGCTGTAATATATGAATGTCACGTCGAAAATTTGTTGAAATTCCTATTGTCTTAACTAACTTTATATGTAACAGTATTATTACACATCATCATGTCAGTTACACAATTGACCAGTCTAAATGTACACAAGTGTTTATGTTTATCTATAAACGAAATCAACAAACCAATTATAAATAGAATTATGTGTGCAAACATGGATTCCACAGTTCGAATATACCAATAACTGAATAACAATTTCACATTTAATATTTATAAATTATTTATCATTATTACAGATAGTTTATTATGGTATGGTTCAACAAGCTACTGGTGAAGATTGGGAAACGCGCTATATGACTTTATCGACTGCACAACCCGGTATAGGTGGTACAGTTCCACATTTAGGCGTACAACGAGTACATTTTCGTAGAGAGTAAGTACAGTTATTTTCTAAATATAAATATTATTTTGGTGTACCTATAGTTTTGTGTTGAATGTCACATCATGATCGGTGTTTCTTATTCATGTTTTCTTTTCGGTGTTGAGAAAAACGCATGATTTGTTAACGTATATATTCTAATCATTATTGGAAATCTTGGAAACTTACATTCAAATTAATCATAACCACATTCCATGCACGCTAACATCCGCTTCATTGCATAACCTTTTTGTTGCATTACTCTTTTAACTACTTGTGAGTAGCCTGGAGTATTTGTATCAATTTGCACATACTGCTTTTTAAAAGAGAAAACTAGAGCGTCAGATTGTGACGGAACTAATACACTTTAAATACGATTTCATAACTATTCCACAAAACACTCAAGGAACTAGTGATCATTCATCCTGTACTAATTTGTTTGGTTTTTAAAATTGAAAACCTTAGATTTATTTGGAAAGCTTCACCCATATTAAAACATCTGCGATTCTAGTCATAGTTCTATGTATACTAACTTGTTTAGCTAATATATTAGATACTTTTGAAAACTTTAGGGAGGAATAACTGTTTAGTCAACGAAAGAAATGAAATAAATACTCTAGATATAAATTGGTAATTAACATCATCTAAGTCACTAACTTTATTGAAAAGTTACGACCTGGCGCCCTGAGCAAAAATCAGTCTATGAAGAATAATAATCCAAAGAAAAATTCAGAAACCAATTAGTACGAAAACGAAACTTCTTACAAAGGTCACATATCAGCCCTGAATTTGAACTTTTATGGCTTGGGTACCCACTATTAGGGGGTCACGCACAACGTCGAAGAGCCTGTTCAGTGTTCCATAGTTTCCAACGGTACCCTACTAGAAATCAATCTGTGACGAACGTAACTTACAAGTTAAACCAAGTTTCAAAAAAATTCTGGTTCAGATATTAATAAAACTTAACACCTTTCAGTGACAGAAGTTAGTTTCATCTGCTAATAAAACAAAAAATCTAGGTCCATCAATAAATTTTAGCCTATACTGATATTAGCCTACTTCATGAGTCATTTAAACGCAATTAATCGGTAATAAATGCGGTTTTTTCACTCTATTGCTTACATAACTTGTATTCTAACTCATTACATGTAAGTTGTCTATTTTCATCTTCTCTTAGTGAGCAGTGTATATTACCATAACTTAACAACAAATTTAGTTTAACAGCTGAGATTTTTGTCAAATGTAAATTCAATTAAAATCAGTAAGAAAGTACATCTAGGTATGTACTATTATTAAGTCTAATCTTTAACACTTCATAGTCTATGCATGCATGATATAAATTTTAAATCAAATATAGCTCATGTTTTGTTACACAACTCTTTTGATAATTCCATTCATTGTATATACATATATACATATAGTCATTCTCCAGCAATCCCTATATCACGCAGTGCTATATCATCCACAAGTGTAACAACAGGCTACAATTCCAGTGGAATAACATCAACAACAACATTACCAGCATCAACAGGACACCAAATCTCTGGTGCATCTGCTACAGGAAAAAATACTCGATCATGCACTAAACTAGGTGCATTTAAACGATCTAATCGAACACCAGGAACAAATTTAAATGAAAGCGATCGTGGTGGATCTATGGATAATGAGGTAAAATTATTGATTCTTTTTCCTTAGTTTGTTTTCCTATCAATAAAATACAAAGTGATTTTTGTATTATTGAAGGAAGAGAATAAATTAAGGCGACAGATTAATTACATAATTTAGGTTCTGAATTCGTTTTAATGAAATCGTTAAATATCTTAACCATTGCTTATGTGTTTGTGTGCGTGTGTGTGTGTGTGTGTGTAAGGAAGAATAGTCTAACAAAATTGCCACCTCTCTTTTATCATGCATTTGTTCGTACTTTTTTAACATAAATAATTCAAGTCTTAATTACTGAAGCTGTTTAACTAAAAAGTATACCGTGTTATTCCGCTTTACCTGATTTCTATTGACTTTTTCTTGGGAAAAATTAAATTTCATGCTTTATTTTAAATGGTGTTATATGATTTGTTAATTTTGCATTACAAAGTGTGTTTGTATATGCACGTGAACCTCTGTAAGATTGCATATTGCCACTTTCTAATCCTTTACAAATCTAAGTCAGGAAGTAACACTCATTTTTTTTCTCAACAGAAAGGGCGATAATTTTGTTTACATCTAAAATATAACATTCTATTTTTAATGACTTACCTTCTTTCCTAACACCGTTTTGTTCCACATTGTCATCATCATCATCATCATTATAATTCTTCTTCTTCTTCTTGTTGTACTTCTACATTTTCCTATTCGGGTGATGTTCATCAATGCCCATCTGTATGTCTTTTTACATCATATTAGCGTATCGCCTGATTCTAGTCGTCAGTTACAAAGTATAGACAAATCTAATTTAAATGAAAAAACATTTCGACTACCATCTGCTGGTACAATTCCTTCTTATTCTAAACGTATTTCTGCCAATGCAGCTGTATTTTATCAAACACCTCCATTGCAACGTTCCGATTTTACGCGTGGATTAAATGATACTATTTCGTATGAAATGACTGATCGTCTTTCTGCATATTATGACAATTCAACTGAATATTGCTCTACACTTGGACGAAGTGATAGTATGGCATCAACTACGTTGCATTCATCGCTTGGTCGTCGAAATAAACTACATCCAAGATCGAAATCACGTGAAACAATACGTACTATAACTCAGGTGTGCAGATCTTGTACACTGTTACATTATATAATGTGATAATTGTGTTTTTTGATGAATGTTTGTTAGTTACTCTTTCAGAGTGAGAAAATTATAAACATGTGTAGTTTATATAGAATTGTATTATATACATTGGTTGATGTTATTTGTCCAATTGTAGCTCATGGTTTGGGTCAGATTGTGTGTTAATAAACTATTGTAAAGTTTCGAACATGAAATTGAAATAATACCAAGCTATAAATAGAAATAATGATAATATTACTGATTTGTCAAGTATAAAACAATTTTGTGTACTTCCATTTGAATTACACTTTTTATGTGTAATAGTTAGCTAATATTACTTAGCTGTTTATATTGAATTAGGTAAAGCTAAGTCCAGACCTGCAACTCCACTGTTTAAAGGTTGAAAATTTCAATTATTATCCTTTCAGTTCACGTAAATGTTTTCTAAAAAAAAAAAAAACCTATAAGATGTAAGATTATCTAAGAGAAATGAAATTTTTCTATGACTCCTGATGACCTAATCGAAATGATGTAACTTAAAATAATCATTGGAATTCAATCATTAATTTTTCATTTTCGTTATGGGAATTTGTGAAGATAGTGGTATTTTCAAAGTTGAATTCACGAGTTGATGTAATCTAGACAACCATTGTAAACCTGGAAGCACTGGACGGCCGTTTCGTTTTAGTATGAGACTCCTCGACAGTGCGCATCTATGATCGGCTCATGAGTTGAACTGTGAAAATGCTACAATCCCCACAAATCCCCACACTGATAATAGTCATGTACTCATTAGTGATTATCTTCAAGATAGATATCCTGAAGTTCTAGTGGAAATTCGTGACGAATGAAGTTCAATCTGTGTCGGGTGTGAGGCAATGGATGAAGGGTTGCGCAAGACCATGGATTAACCAAAGTTAGACATTACCACCGTTGGATGCCAGCTCAATGGTCTGGAGGTTAGGCGTGAGACGGAAGGTTGTGTATTGAAGTTTCACTTGCAGGGTCGTGGATGCGCACTGCTGAGGAACCCCAAACTAGGAAGCATTGTCCGTCCAGTGCTTCCAGGTTTTCAATGGTGCTCTAGCTTAGATAGACTCGTGAATTCAATTTTTCATTAGTCAAGGAAAGCATGCCAAACTGAAGTTAATTTAATCTTTAGTAATGATTAATAAAATTAATTTATTACACATTAACATTTATTTATAAACTGACTATGATTAATTTAACCTACCACATACTTTATTCATACCGTTAAACAATGTATGATGTATATGTCTGATTAAGTAAGATATTTTTATATTTAAATATTGATCTACGAAGTGCCTTTTTTCTGCCGCTAAATCTACTTAAATCATGAACTATTTGAGAGGCTGACATTTATATTCAATACATAAAGGTTCTTTTCATAATAATATTTTGGTTATAAATGCTAAAATAAGTACAGTTTACTGTTTGGTAACCAATTTCATGCTTTCCATACTTTAGTGCTAATCAAATTTCAGTGTGACCACTAGTCTGGGTGATTCGATATCTTGTGCACTATATTTCAATGATAGGTGATTAAAATTAATTTACAGAAAACACTGGGCCTATATTTCATACTAGTTGTCACTCGTTAGCAACCCTTGTCTAGTCTTAACAGAACCTGAGTAACTGACACAGGATATGAGCAAATACAGTAAAGAGGTGTAAATTTAATTTACTAACAAGGCGTTATCATTTAAATAATGTTATCTCATGAAAATTAGTGCTTCTGTTCAAATGATTGAACACATGGAGATAGTAAGGAGAATTAAGTGAAATAATACCGGAAATTAACTAACGAGAAGATCGACAGAATATGAGAAATAATTTTACCAGATGCGGTCATTTCCAAATATAATCGTATCAAAAATGAAAATAATGATGACATAGGGTTTAGGTCAAGATAACAAGCAAAATGAGACATATTTTTTCCGTACGGAGATCCCATCGAGATCTCATAATACGGATGGTGGAATGTTTGTGTTATTTGAAGGAATTCGAAATAAAGAAGTTTCAATAAATATGATACAGAATAAGGGGACAGTTTTCTATCCATCTTCAGGTTGGTCAGGCCTTATCCGATGAAGCCGATTGGGTTTTTTTGGAAATGGCCTCAGTTTTTCAAGGCTCAGAAATCCACTGCGTGGATGTAATTGTGTGGGGAAATTGTCATTCCCAGGTCTTGGCTCGTGGGCGTCTACATGCATACCAATAACACATAAGTTTTCACTACTGGATCTCATAACATACATATAATTATATTCACTAACCTAGGAGGGTAGGTGGTCATCACTCTCTTTTAACGCATTTGCTACAGCTGACTGTCACTTACTCATTACATGTACATCTCTGGTATAATGACTTTGACACCTGCACTTCATGACATGTACGTAAGCGTAAGCACTCTTTCATGAAGGGTTGATGGTCATTTCTCCCTAGTATTCGTAAACATACTTTTTTATTATGGTTTTGACCTCATGTATTAGGCTGCTGGTTTTATCATTAATAAGGCAGACATTTTTTAGTTCACATTCCTCGTGTCAGCCCAGGCACGTACCCTTTGGATATGCCAATATACATAAATCACACAAGCCGGAACTCATGCAATTCATACACATAAGCATCAAACATCGGGCAGCCCGTAGAACTTTTGGTGAGCCCTGAAAAAAAGGGAACCAGTTAATCCGGTTTACAGCAGAACAAAGAATTAGCCTGATCTCCGTCGACCGCCCAAACTAACTACCAAGGTTGCTCCTATTGTCCAGCAGCGCCGCGGGGAGATTTTAGATCGAATTTTGCTGCCGATATATAGGTATTCTAAATTCAACCATTTATCTCGGCATACTCATATATCCCTGATATGTAATGAACCGTTTATTTATTGGGTTGTATGGTTATTTCTAAACCTATGTTTAATAAATATATTTTGAAGAGTTCAAGCGGTTAGCAACGATATTTTTGTTGTTGTCGTTAATAAATTCGGTTATTTTAAATTTCTTTAAAAACTATCTAAATTTATTTTGTACTGTATCTTTCTTATGCTGTTTAAATTGTCATTTCTTCTTTGATTTTAAATTGTAACGTCGACTGTTAAATTTGATATTGGTTCATTTCTGTGTTTATTGTATTCTTATTACTAATAGTTATGCTTTGAATTATTAATTACTTATTCAAAGTTATTTCCCGCTCAATTCATTCCATTTGATAGTCAATGTGTAATCGATTTCTTTATTGAATTTAAAGATAAAAGGGGTTCATTTAAGTGTTTACTCGATTGTTTTTTTTTATTGATTATTGATCAGAGATCGTTTATTGTATTAGAGATTGATTAATGCACTTACTATTATTATTATCATTATTATTACCAAGTTATTGACTTATAAATCGTTCACGCATTTGACTGAAAGAATAGAATGATTTATTAATAGATTACATCTAGAATAAGATAGTTGCGCAATATCATTGATTATTTGAACTTAGGCATTAACATCGTTAAAGGTAGGCTCAGTGGTCTAGAGGTTAAGCGTTCGCGCGAGAATAAAGGTCTCACGTGTGGGATCGTGGATGTACACTGATGAGGAATTCCAAAGTAGGACAAAATGGCCATCCACTGCTTCCAGGATTTCAGTGGTAGGCTAATATTGATCAGTTCATGATCTCAATAAAGTAGAATAGAATGAACATATTATTTTTTTAAATTTGATTTTATGAAAGGCTAATTTCTTTCAAATGAGTATAGATTTAATATAAACGGTAAAATTTTTATTTAAATCAAAACAAAATATAGAGTGGTCGATGGTAATTGGTAAGAAACTCTAGACATAGATTTTATTACTTCTTAATTTCAACAATTTTATGACTGCTTCACTACTATTGGTTCATAGTCTATTTGATCAACGAATGTAAATTGAATTTAGAAATGAGAACAGTTATTTACTAACACAGTAGTCAAAATGTTAAGTCCTAACCGCGTAACCTGAAGATTCTGGGTTCAATTCCTAGTTGCTTTTGTGTATGTACATTGCTTGGGTGTTGTTCAGTGCTTCCTAGTTTTCCATAATTGTCTAAATTAGCTCAATCCTTGATGTAAACTATATAATTCGATAGTCTTCACAAACTTCTTTTACATAAATGTTTCACATGTTATCGCACTCCTAATAATTACCGAGTTACTTCTTTTTGTTTAACCATATAATTTAAATTATATGATATGGACATTCAGTAATTACTATGTTTATGTAGTCTTTAATCAAAATGAAAATTAAGTTAACTGTTTGAAATGGTTTTGAATGGGAATGAATGGGAAGAAACAATTGAATACAATAGACGAATTATTATAAAGTAGACAGATATATTATGTTAGTTTACTGTAATGTTTATCTCCAAGGAAATGCTATATACACCAGGTCTTAAATATTCTTTTCAACGATTACTTACACTTTATATAGTATCTAAGTGGAAACTCATTGAAAATTCGACTAAAAAACTTTATATGGTCGTGATAGTATCAACCTTAATTAAGAAATTCCCAATCTTTTTAAACATTTACACGATGTATGAATATTTACCATTTTAGATAACAGTCATAAAATGATTTAGTTAAACATTTGCTTTGAATATAAGTGAAATGAACAAATTTTTACTGAACAGTTTTTCCAATAGTATCCGTATTAGAAGGACTATATCTGTATCATTTTTATTGTAAGTTGAAATCAGCTTTTATATTAATCCTCAACGATGAAGACTGCAAATAAAAGTAACGTTGACAAAATCTATAAGAGAAAGGCTAGTAATCATTAAGTTTACGTAGTAGATCAACCGGTTAATACAAGCTGTTTTTTAGTAATCAGTTATTAGGACCGTAGTTTGTAATTAACTGCAATGAATATTATAGTTACTTAATATTTAGAATTTTTGTCTCTTAATAAACAACTTGACTCACAAACTTAGGTTTACATCATTATATTAAGTTAAAGTAATATACACTATCAATAATTTTTATACTTCTCATTTTGTTTTCAGCGTGATGGTATCACACCATCTGGAACACTGCAACGTGGTGGTAGTATTGAAAGTACTTATGCAACTGGATTACGTTCCTCTAGCACTAGACCTATCAGTAGACGTACATTAGGATCAAGTATGTTGTTCAACTCCGTCACTTCTCAGAGTCCTTTGTTATCAAATCGAATTTCTACTTTAATGAATTCACAACCTGCACTATTGCCTACATCACAACAATCTGCACCGCCTGTTGGAACAGTTGCAACGATACAACTGGAGGTCCCACGACCCCCGGCAATAATTCGGTGTGATAACGAACCTAATCGTGTCACTGTCGGGTTGTTAGATTTACAACCGCGTTATGAATACGTAACTGTGCCGAAGCGTTCTTTGTATGCTTATTTGAAAGCGACAGCCGTGAACAATACGGAATTTTCTATCTTGGCTGGTCCAACTAACATATATGCTGATAATACTTTTATTGGAAAAGTAAGTCATTTATTACTTTCTTTGTATCGATATTATCAATTATATTCCTAATATCATATATTTTATTGTGAAGACTTAATACCATAGGTCATTCTGGGATTGTGGAGAATATCTATATCTCAGGATGAGGATTTCGAATGTGTATTGTTCTCTGAACTGGATGGTTTAATCGTGAATATTTCATTGTCTCTCTCTCTCGATAACATCAGTAAAGTGAGTTTTCAGAATTTCGCCACAACTGAATAGCTGTTTATTCTGTTGACTTAGAATTTGGTTACTTGTTGTCCATATATGTTTGAGCATTGTTTGTGTTTGTTTTGATCATTTTCACCTCCAACCTGGTCTTTGAACTTGAAGACATTGAAATTTACAAGGTCTATCAGCCACAAGGAAAAAATGAACGAATCGAGCGAAAAACATTTCTTTTCAATTAGTTTTTCACTATGGCTCGACACTAATATATATGATTTACAATAATGAAATAATACTCGTCGAGTGGAAAAAAGATGAACAACTCCAAGGTCATAGGCCAGTCTGGAGGTGAAAATGATCAAAACAAACACAAACAATGCTCAAACATATATGGACAACAAGTAACCAAATTCTAAGTCAACAGAATAAACAGCTATTCAGTTGTGGCGAAATTCTGAAAACTCACTTTACTGATGTTATCGAGAGAGAGAGACAATGAAATATTCACGATTAAACCATCCAGTTCAGAGAACAATACACCTTCAAAATAGGTCAATCTTTCAATTACTACTTTGAGTCATGACTGGATGCCATTACTACTGTTCTCAGATAAATTCTATTTACGAGCGGATAGCGTTCTTTTTCACCAAAGTTTCAAACAAAAATCATTGGAATATGCTACTGTAAGTTTACAGGAAACTGTAGTAATTAGCGCTCTCACTGAATAGTAGCCACTTTGCTAGTTGTCAAACCTGTCTGTAAAGTGCTAATCAATCAAATCACCTTACTCTTGTGCAATTATCAATGCGATATATATTGAAATTCTACATGCCAATCATAGATCACAACCCGCCTAGTTGTGACAGCGGACATCACGATTAAAAGGTTAAACCATAATTGGCAACTTTAGTTTTAACATTATTTACCTACTTAAGCTTGTTAGCCCTGGTGAAGCATGGGCTGGCAACCAGGATTTTCCAACCGACTCTGTCCTCCATTCTTCATTTCATTTGTTGTCAAGTAATATTCATTCTCCTGATGCCTGCCCTCAATTCCCGCCACAATGTGTTCTTCCGTCTGTCTTATTTCCTTTAGTTTCTTTTAGTCTTTGAGATGCGGTTTTATGATTTCCTTAATGTATGTCCTATCCGCCTCCAAAAGTTTTTCTTAATTTCCTCTTCACCTGGAAGCTGGTTGTTCTCTCCCACAGTGTGAACTGCTGCTGATAACACTCAGCAAGCAAATCTGTAGTAACTTGAGTGGACAGCTGTTTACAAATACCCGTACTTTTGATGATGGTTGTAGTTCTCCAAGTTTCAGCTCTGTACGACAGAACTGTCTAGACACTTGTATTGAAGACTGACTTTGTTGACTGTAAGTTTTCTTAAGTTCCTTATGTTCTTCAATCATAGGAATTCTGCTCCTATTTTGCCAATCCGTGCCTTCATATGTACATCAGATCCTCTTAACTATGAATGAATGATTGAATTGGTGTTCATCATGTCGTACTTCACCATCTCGCTTTTGCCCTTGTGAATTTTAAAGTCTACTTCTGAAGTGGCTGCTACTACACTGGTTGTCTTCACCTGTATTTGTTGCTGTTCATGGGATAGAAGAGCTAAGCCATCTGCAATGTCCAAATCTTCTGGCCTCATCCAAGCCGCCGATTGTATTCCCCGAGATGTGGAGGTCTTCATAATCCAATCAACCACCATAAAAAAAGTAAAAGTGCGAGAGTAGACAGCCTTGTTTGACATGGATCCTCATTTAGAATGCACCTGTCAGCTATCCTCCATGCACAACATTGCGATGTAGTCCGTCGCATGAATTCTATATGCTGGTTACGATCTCAGGCACACCATATTGTCGAAGAAGGTTCCATAATGTTCTTCTGTCCACACTGTCAAATGCTTTTTCACGGTCAAGAAGGTTGGTGTATAGTGACGAGTTCCACTCAACTAATTGCTCAATAATGATCCGTAATGTTTCGATTTGGTCTGAACATCTTTGCATCTTTGCAGTTACCTCGATGTCTGACTTAAGTGCTTCAGCTGGTGTGTTGTCTGGTCCTGCTGCTTTCCCATTCTTGATTTATCGGATGGATACGCTAATTTCTCCGATTATTGGTGGGGTAACTTCTACAGTAAGTTCTGTGGGGTATATCGATGTCCAAAGTGTTCAGTGGAGCTGATATACTCAAGAGTTCTTTGAGGTGCTCTAGCCACCTGTTCCGCTGCTCTTAGATCTCAGTGATTGGCTTGGTTTCTTTGTTCTTGACTGGTCGCTCTCTTTCACCAAATTCCCTAGGTAGTTTTTTCGTTGTAATATAAAGTTGTTCCATATTTTCTTCTCTTGCAGGTCTTTCCGCTTTGATTACTAGGTCTTTCACGTACTTCTGCGTGCAAGTTTTAATGCTCTTGAACAGGGTTGAATTGATTGAGTTTATCAGAATCTGAAAGAAAAGTTGTATTAGACATTTGTAATGCTGTTTGTGCAGTTGTCCAGCACTTTTTAAGTTCCAGGTTTAGCTTGGCCACCACTGTGCTGATCTGGAGCTATATCAGTTTCTTGCCTTTTTCCTGCATCCTTTATGAAACCCATGTAACTTAGTGTATGCGTTTATGCGGGAATGTGATGCCATCTGTAACCGTTTTGTCGAAGGCACATAGATTTGCAAATCTCTCACCACTCTGATTCCTTTCTGCGAATACATGTCGTCCCATGATGTCTTCATACCCGATTGTGTCCATTTCGACCTTGGAGTTTAGGTCTTCCATTAGGACGGTCAGGTCATATCCTGGGCACTATTCTACAATCGACTGCAGCCTCTTGTAAAGCTGATCTTAATCATCTCCATTGTTTTCATTGGTGGGTGCATCGCACTGGATAACGTTCATCATAATAGCCTTCCTCTTTGTTTTGTAGGACACTTTGTTGATCCTGGATTCATGAGATTGCTATCCTATAAGTGCTTATCGTGCTTCTTTGGAGGGTGTCAGTGCAACTTCTTGTGTGTACGAAGCATCATCTTCTTCATGACTAGAGTGCGACAGAACTTCTCTCAAAGCTGATCTTTTTTGTCCAGCTTCCATCAAGTGGCCTTCACTTATTTCGAGTACCAACAGTTTGTATGTTTTTCATTTCTGCAGCTATTTGAATAGTCCTCCAAGTTTCCAACACTGTCCGGATATTCCACTTACCTATGTGAATAGTTGCTCTGGCTGTTAGAAGGTGCATAGGTGTCGTGATTTCCTGAGAATTTCGGCTTTGACCATGAGGTGTTATAACTCGGCTACATGAAGACTCACCAACCCCATGAACAGAGTTTAAATGGTTGGAATGACTTTTCTAGTTAGCTTTTTTTCTTGACAAGATTGTTTTCTATGGGATGGAGTTGCTAACCCCATGTCCATGAGACCGTCAATAAGCTCAGAAGATCGATATGTAAAGTTATTTTTACATAATAAAGCTATATTATTTGAAAATGTTTCATTTGCACCTCATTAGGATTAAATGAGTTCTGCAAATAAATGTGACCTTCTTTAAAATTTTCTTCTTAGTCTGAAATACGTGCTGTCGCTCCAGGCGAAGAGTTTAATTGTCACTTAGGCGCTGAGAATGGTATAAAAATACTGTATCGCCCATTATTCAAATATCGTGAAGGTACCGGTTCGAGTGGAAAAAATGCTACAATGACATTTAAACAATTAATTGAAGTACGTAATACATTTGATCGTCGTGTACGTCTAATGGTTGTTGATCAAGTTCCAGTCAGTGCAGAGGATAAAATTAAAGTAAGAATTTCATTGTTAACTTTTTTTAACTTCTAAAATTCTTTCTGCTTTTGATCCCTGTTTTGTTTTTTCCTATTTTTTTTTCAGAATAATTCACTTTATTTCCTTACTCCTTATCAAATATCAATCATTTGAGTAATTTTATTAAAACCACTGATAAAAACAATCGTAGTTGGGTCATTCAAGATGTTAGCTTTAACGATCGTGGTATGTTTGGTACTTGAACCCTACTTTCCTACCACTTCCTAGCCCCACCCAGAAAATCCCATATACCTGAGCTCCAAACTGAGGATAAGAGAAGTAGAAGTTCTGTATATTTACAGTTATGAAAATGAATTCGTCCCAAACTATTACTCATGTTTCTTAAAATATTACTATGATAATTTGTAATCCAAAATGATATCCAATAGTTTTCCCTTGATTAGCTAGGATAGAACATTTCCTAATTGTAATGACTATAAATAACCAGTATTTTAAAAATTATCCTCTTATATAACTTGTTGTAAGTCAGCTTGTAAGTCTCATTTTAAATGTTCAAGTTGTTATAAAAACGACTATCAACAAAGAGATAATGTAGATATATTTTATAAAATAAGTTAAAGTGTTGACCGACTTTCAGGCTTTTTCTCATGTCATATTGTTCACAATAGTTTGGCTATGCACTATAATCTGAACGCCTAAAGTATATATTTTTTATTTTCATTGGAACCCGAACCCTAAAAATTTAAGTTAAGAACCCAATAGCCCAATTCAGTTACCTAGGGTCATTGATTCTATGTCTTGATTCTCGTTCTAGTTCTAGGGTTGTAGATATGACAAAATTGGCATTTTCATAGTTCAATTCATGAGTTGATCTAAGCTCGACCACCATTGAAAACCTGGAAGCACTGGACAGCCGTCGTTTTTTCCTAGGGCGGGACTCCTCCAGTATTTCCAGGATTTCAGTGGTGGTCTAGCGTTCATCGGTTCATGATTCCAATGAAATAATACCACGATTAAAGATGTTTCAATGTAGAAAATTATCTTTTCGATGGTATTATTTCACGTGGTAGCTTAATATCAAATAGAGGAATTTCATTTCATTGAAAAAATTAATTGAAGGTAACTGAACTTTTTCTCGTATAGAATATGATAATATATCAAAAAATGCATAGGTATTGCATTATTTTTCATAAAGCAATCAAAAATTAGGAATAGTTTACAAGTTATGTAATAATCTTAGAAGTAGTAAATGATGATAATTTTAAAAAAAGAAATACGAAAAATGATTATCTACTTTAAAAATATAAACGTGAACAATAAGATAATAATTAACACTAAAAAATTGAAAAACTATAAGCGGGTACTAAGATCATCGTAGAATAAGGGACTGAACACTCTTTTGTACACAGGGATGAGATATGGATTAATGGTTTGTCAAAACTACAACAGTGTACAAGTTTTTAAACTGAACTTTCTGTGTTTTTGATTAAGATCATGAACCGATTGATGTTAGACTACCACCTTTGGAAACCTGGAAGCACTGGACGACCGTTTCGTCCTATTGTGGGACTCTTCAGCAGTGCACATCCACGATCCCGCTCGCGGGATTAGAACCCAGAGCCTTCGGTTTCGTGTGCGAATGCTTAACCAACTGGACCACTGAGCAGGCATCCAATGGTGATAGTGTCTAACATCAACCAATCTACGAAATTGCGCGACCAACTTCCGTTGTACTGAGGTAGATACCTGTCTCTACCCGACATGGATTAGCTCCACTGGTCACGGCTTCTCACTAGAACTCTGAGAAACGGCCGTCCAGTGCTTCCAGTTTTCTAAAGGTGCTGGTCTAACATCAATCGGTTCATGATCTCAATCAAAAACTTAATAATCTCCACAAACCCTATACTATTAATTGAACTTTCTTTGAACAAGTTCTTTTGACTTTGTAGATAATATTGAAGAATGAATCTTGTAGCAGTACATGACCAGGGTTGACTATATGTTTTAGAATTACCCGTCAACGATATGAGTTTTTTTGTAATAAAATATTATTGAATAAATAAATAAATAAATAAGATTGTTTCTACAATATCAATTATTTCCCATTTTAATTGTACACTAATTAGGTTAGCCTTTTAGAGCCAACAATTAAACATCCAGAAAAATATGATAAAAATAGACCAATCAGAATGAATAAATTCAATAATGTTGAATGGGACTTGGATCTAGGTCCAGGTGAGTTAAATTTTTAAATAATGTCATTGTAAACTTGGGAATTTCTAATAACTTGATTGAAATTCAGATTAGAAGATTTCTTCAATTAATCTCTAATTTACAATATATACTTTACTTCATGGAATTCTAATCCCTTAATCAAAGGGTTGGTTCAATTATCGATAAACTATTAAAAATCACATAGTTACATAATACAATATGGCTTTCAGAAATCGTGAGTAGATAAGGTTAACAGCTGATTTCAACGTAGCGAGTTATGAACCAGTTTATAATTGATTGACCATTGAATAGTAAACAATGTATTTTTTGTAGTCCTTTGGCGTTGATTGAATTCTGTTGATCAAGTTCTAATTGAGCCACTATTCTAAGTGACTCGAAATTGTGTACACTATATTTTAATGTTGTGCATATGAATGCAGATGGTTGGAAGCTGAATGAAATTGATTCAAACTTCACAGAGAATATTAATTCCCCCAAAAAGTGCTGATACGCCTTCCTGACTAGTGACAATTATCGTGAAATATATTTCCAAAATTTCGTACCAATTTACCTTCAATCATCTAACTTATGAACTAGTGTTTATAAATGATCTTCTTTGCCCAAATGATTTTGTAAAGATATTTTGTATAACTTGAGGGTAATTTTCTTCACGAATTGACGTTAGTTGTGAGAATAATAATAAGCTTCATAAGGTTCCGAAATGGAAGTTGTGGACTAAAACAAATTGAGAGTAAGTCATTGGTAACACTGGAAAAAGATCATTCCGTATCATAAATTGATTGAATCTGAGACCATGAACGATTGGATTTCAACTCAGAGTTTTTATATTAGACTTTCTTTAAAGATGTCAGTGATTACTGGTGAGGAGTTTCAAAAATGGATGTAACATCTGTCCACTGTTGTTTAGTTCCAGTAATTGTACAGCTAAAGTCAAATCGTTGTAAATACCATATTCAAAATAATCTTTTATATTTTCCGTTCAACCAATACAAAGATAATTTACGATTATTAATAATTTAAGCTCATTTAAATTCACTTCTCTCTATGCAATGGTTTTATTAAATCATATTCAAATTTATTAAGCAACATAACCTGAATAATCATATCCACTCTAGATGCGTGCTCAAACGTCTATTATATGTAATAATTATAGAGCTATTTTACTAGTTGTATGGCTGATGTACTCAGTTTTGAAACACATTTCTGTGTAAGCTAGTGATATCACATGAACTTGCTAACCTGAATTAGATCGGACGTGATTTGAACTTTCAATATATTAGTTAAATGCTAAATATTTTAACCATTAAGTCACCAAAGGTGCTTTTGTTTTACATAATAATCAGTAATTGAGATAAATTGTAATGAAAATGTATTTGAAATATGAATACTATAAATGTTGTGTGAACATTTTGATGGTTAATCTTTTAAACTAACTTACACTGTTGAGTTTTCAACTGTTGTCTCTTTCTGTAATATTTTCCTGAATAGAACGTTATAGATATTAACTTATCCATCATAAAACTAATGAACTATGTATTTTGATCATTAATATCAATTATAGATCACCAGTGAAGAAATGTTGTAACTATCCCCAAGTATGCTTCATATATATATATATATTCAAATGCGGATGTCAGAGATGCATACATTACAGTGATATAAGTAATGGGTGTAGACGGGCGCAGTTTCTATTATTCTTTACACGTGATTATAGAAAAAGCAGACAAGTCCATACATCCCGTAAATACATACATACATAGAAGTTTCCACTCGCGAGTGTACGACACATGCACATATAGAATACATAAGCCTAGGTTTATGCACTCCATAGTATACACATAGGTATAGATACGGACGCTCCAGGCCCCTAGGCCCAGCAGCATTTTCACTGAGTAAATATCGAGTATTCAAATCAGTATGTAAATGATTCGTCATAAACGATGTGCCCACTGAACGCTCTTACCACAATTCTATTTAGTGTCGACTAGTGTGCACTGATTACGGCACAGATTATGGACTACTCTTTGGCCCTGCCCTACCAGACCTTGTAGGCCCTTCCAGACTAGTCTTTTCAGACACAAAGAGAAAGCGTTTCTCCAATGCCACAATCGCACTCCCGATTCATGTCGACTTCTCTTCTCATGTAATCAAAATTAACACAGTGGGTGATTATCCCGATTTCCCTCTGACTGCGGATTGGTTGGTCGGTTCGATCTCCACCGCGCCGCTTGCGTTAGTTCATGTTGAAAGAGATCATCCACTATCCATTGAGCACTACGTGGAATCGCAAGTCGGACTTTGTCCCCCAATAGTATGGTGCATTGTAATGAATGTTGGATATTTGAAAACACTGCCCATGAATCAATGAATTTCAATCTATCCCATTCTTTAATTGACATGGTTAACATGGTTTTATGATTTTCAGCCTTTTATATCCTCAATAAATTATAGATTCTGATTAAAACAAGTTTTCCTCATACCAATCAAATCAAAGAACTTCAAGTTAACCATTAATACAAATGACCGTCAGAAATTAATTGACCTACTCAGTTCAATGATAAAAGGTATGTGAATAAAATGCGTAATAAAAGGAATATTATTAGCGTAATTAAAGATCAGAAATTTTTGTGAAGTGAAACGAAATTAATTGTATTCATGAATGGGGTAAGAAAGGGATAAATAAATAAATAAATAGAGGGTTTGACGCAATTATTTCTTGGGATTTTTACAATATTTTACTGCAACATATACTCTTTTTCCTTTGCCTAGGTGAAATTCGTGAATTAACACTGAAATATTCAGTGGAGCATCCAATCAATGAAGATTTAGACGTTTCTGTTTCTGAAAACTAAAAAAATAGCTACAAACTGGAGCATATTCAATTGTTACAATATACATTTGGGTTTTCATTGTAGAAGGGGAAAGGGAATCTGGGATTTTATCAGACGTATTCCTTTCTGATTTTTCTCATTTTATTATTATTATTATAATCATTGATCATTGGTAATTAAAATATTGATAATAATAATTACTATTATTATTACCATTATTACTACTATTATTAGCATTATTATTGCTTAACAGTTTATTTCAATTTCTTTTCGGTGCTTTTTCGCATTATTTCTATTGAAATAGCTTATGCTTCAATAATTTTGTTGTTGTTGTTTTTGTTGTTATTTGATACTAAGGGATCCAGTTCGATTGACACTATTCATTTCGAATACCCACTTCTACATTATACTAAAAACAAAATAATAATAATAATAATAATAACTCATTTTTAATACCCGAATGATATCAGCACATACATATACTAATTATTATACAAATAAATTGGAATGGAACTAGTCTAAAATTGCACAACAATAAACACAATAACCATGATAGCAACTAAATGGTAAATTATTGATTTCTAAAAAGAGAAATTATCGTCGGTGTATTCATTTAATAAATTCTCTCTGTTTCAATATGGTTATTAATTTTTTTGAATGTTCAATTTTGTTCTGTTGTTTTACGCATAGTACTAACATATTTTATTTTATTTTATATTCTTATATATAAAAATTAAATCTAAATTTTACCGCTTGTTATTTGTATTGCTTTAAAGGGTAATTATTGTTATTATTATTATTATTATTATTATTATTATTATTACTGACGTCATTACTATCTACTATTGTCTGCCCTACAATTGTTGTGGCACTGTTTATATACAGTGAATTAATTAATCTACAATCTCTGATGTAATATTATGTCATCACAACTACTTAAAACAATCTTTCTATGCCCTAGACCTACCCGTGTACACTGTACGCTAGAGGTAAGTTTATCAAAAAACAGTGACACGGACACTTAAATCTAAGTAATCTAATATCAACAAAATAATAGATTACAGCTTTATATGTTGAGTATTGATTTCGTGGGACTACTCTATTTGTTATTTATTTCATTCATTGACTTTGAGTGTATAAGAGTGTGTGTGTGTCGGTAAATAAAGGCATTGGAATAAGGATTAGAGCTCCGTCAATTTTGTTAATGTCATGGTTTATGTTAATTATCCATTCGTCATGAAGTTGTCTTTTTTCAAGGTTACGGACGTATTTTACTTTTCTGATCATTATGAATATTACTACTGTTATTATTATTATTATTATTGGTATTAAAATATTTAATATTATTATTATGAGCTGCTTTGAAGACACTTAATAAACTAATCAATTTGCCTGATAACTTTCAATCTGTTGTTGATTTCTTTGAAAGGTTAGGTAAGCCAATTAGAAGACGAGTTTATCAGAACCATATAACGAATCAAATAGCGTGATATATTTCGAACAGCAATTCGATCATGCATAAACTTGTCCATAAAACATCATTGAAAAATATAAACGTCAGACTACATAAATTGGGAAATAAGTAAAAACAAAGGTAATTGATAAAAGTAATGTAAGCCACATCACTCTGAATAGTAAATTAATATTAGCAGAGCATGTTTGATGTTCGTATAAATAGTTTTTGAACATTCATTGAACTGGTTGGCTGGAGATTTTCATGTTGTTTAGGTTTCAACAAACCTCAGTATTCGTTCTAAACAATTTTAACTGAAAACCCTGGAAGCCAAGTTAAGAACATCCTTATAACCAGTTTCAAATGTGTTTGGAAATGGACGAATGTAGGTATTTTTCATCGGTTTGTAGATCATTTACATTATTCGTATTAAAAACCATTTTGGTACATTTTCAGCCACCTAAAGTTGGAAGTCACAATTTATTCTACATATATATGATTCCTTGAATTTTGATCTTAAAATATTTCTGGTTTTAGAAACTTAATCTATTTTGAAAGATCGTCAAATTTTCACTATATGTAAATATCAAGCACTTGATATTTCCCCGAGTTAAACCAAGGTTGAAGTCAGATAAGAACAGCAATGGCCTTCTAGTTATAATTTAAACAAAAAATCTGCTGAACATGTACGTCAGTCTCGTTAATCAAATAGTTTTCAGACTGTCCTTCAGGGTAGCAAAAATCGTTTTGTTATGCCGAAAAAAAACGCTGATCACTTATACTCGGAACGAGGGACCACGGCAATTCCCGAGATGCAAAAGTAAGAACACAAGACTGGTATAAGTGAAGATTTATTAGCCTCAAACACTATGACAACGACGAATCAATATCGTCTAAAATGCGCTGGTTTATATATTGATTGTACACCCATTTTGATTATTAGTTAAGATTAAATTACATGCTTAGTTATAGCAAATCAATTACTGAGCATAGTTTATGTCAAGTGAATACAAGAACATCGTATATTATACAGAAGAAAATATCATACTGGGAAAACAATCAAATACTACACTAAATGATCCTCACGTTGAATCAAAATGGATGTAATGTTGAATAAAACTGATAATGAGTAATTCAATCGAAAATTGACTTTTCTTTCCATCATATCAAGCAATAATTAATCTACTGGGTCCTAACACGTTTTTTGATGAATATTCATATACTACTTACCATACTTGCAGTAGCTTTTTAAATGAACTTTAGCAATATTTTACGTTATAATTGCTAATTACTTCAAAATACCGTATCTTGACTTTTAACATGAATATTATTAACGTTAGGCTATAAGGTATACAGAAAGATAATTTACAATGATAAAGATTAATTCAATAACAGCCAAACTGGTAATACTAAGGCTAAATCATTCTACATAGGACTCAGATGTTTAATCATGGATGTCCGTACAATACTAAACTTCACTGTAGTTACTTGGCATTATTTAATCATTCTCTAATGATCGAATTTTCAAAATACATATACGGTTAGTATGCACATAAACTAATCAAATATATTCTGCTTGAACTAATCATTCACTCAGTGATATACTTATCTTATCGCTCTTATACTTCGAGCATTTCTACAGATGAGTAGATTTTATACATTCGAACTTGTTCTATCAACACAAAATATGGAACAATAGTTAATGACGTCGTTGTGATCAATGAAAGGTGATTCTAGCATCTTTCAACTGAAGATTATTAATAACCAACTCAACTAAAAACACCACAATTTTTGCTTACCAATTTTGTATGCGAGAAAGATTAGATTGTCACTAGTTCAATTCCTGGTATGGTTGTTGATATACTATTCTCAGAATTCAAAAACTGTTACGAAATATTTGACCGGTATTTCATGTTTTCCGCAGATTTTCTGATATCAATCCTTTAGGAACTAATTTCTACAAATAACCCAAAATATGAGAAATAACGTAGAATATTACCTCACTTTTTCTGCTATAAAGTATGTTTATTATATTTCTAGACGAGTTAGAAGAAACATTCCAGCAACATACCATTGTAGTGGACACGAACACCAGTGGGAACAATCGAATGTATTTAACACAAAATTACAGGACTTGCTAATAAAATCTAACAATCATAAAGTGAATGCCTAATTCGCAAAATGTCCACCAATTGTCTCAAAATGACTCAGACTTCATTGTTCTTGCATTTTCATACAAATTGCATTCTGTTTTCATTCTTTACTGTTCGATCCTTTTGGCTCTCTGCTGTCAGACCTTCTATTCACGACTAACATCAAATACCACTTATGTTAATATAAGTAGCACACACCACACCATGACGAAATTAAATACATTTTTGTTTTAATCCTATGTAAATGTTACTAGTTCTATACGAATATCACTCCTTCGTTATTTTCTCCAAAACGTATTTTGTGATATAATTAATCAATGCATTGTTCATAGTATCCTTTAAAACATATAAATACAGTCTAAGCCTACTATCGGTTATGACTTTGGAGAATCTCAATAGTTTTTAAGTCGTTCGTTTATTGATAATTATGAACTATTGATGCTTTGTCCATTATTAGTAAGACGATGTTAAACAGTAAGGATATACATGGTGGATAACATAGTGATAACATTTCAAAACCATTGTAAATTAGCAACACGTAAACGACTTCGAACTTTTTATGTCTTACCTTAGCTACTATAAAGTTATCAAAATGGGGATTTGTGATTGTAGTAATTTTGATAGTTCAATTCATAAGTCGATATAAGCTAGACCATCATTGGGAACCTGGAAGCACTGGAAGGCCGTCTCGTCTTAGTATAGGACTCCTCATTAGTACGTATCCACGATCCCTCACGAGGAACTCCAATTCGAGATCTGTCTCACACACCAACGCTTAACCCTAAGACCACTGATTTGCCATCCAACAGAGTTAATGTCTAATTTCAATTAATCATTGATCTTGTGCAACCCTTCGTCCACTGTCTGAAGTGGATAACAGTCTCATCCGACACGGATTGAACTCCACTGGTCATGGCGTTTCACCAAAAATCCAGGAAATCTATCTTGAAGCTAGTCACTAGTGAGCACATGATGATTATTGTTACTATGAGAGTTTGTGGAGATTGCAATAATTTTAATAGTTGCACATTGCTGAGAAGTCCCATACTAGGACGAAATGTCCGTCCAGTGCTTCTAGGTTTCCAATGACGGTCTAGCTTATACTGACCCATGAATTCAACTATCAAAATTACTAATGGAGCACAACCACATTGGATGTGAAATGATTAATCATAAAGAGCTATAAATGATGCTTCCGAATAATGGTGAATCGAGTGAAACTAAAAATGTAAATCATTGAGTGCAATCTCACTGGTCTGAATGCTCAACACTCATAGTGTCATCTGAAGATCTTGTGGGAGGGTTTTGAATAGACACTATCAAAAAGTCCTATACCAGGATAAAACAACTGTTTAGTTTTCGATGAATTAAATAGAATGCACCGTACGAGACACAACACAAGAAAGATTGGTTCAGTGAATTTTTTTCTAGGAATTTATTCTTGAAGTTATGGGACCGCAAAACGTATACCCTTTTCGAAGGTAAACGATAATATTTTCATTACTTCAAAAGATCTGTGAAGTTTATAGAATTTTCACAGTATAAATGTTCTCAGCTGGACTACGAATGAAAACCGTGAACTGACTAAGGTTAGATACTACCATTGTCAGGTGCAGGTCCATTAATCTAGAGGCTTAGTTTACTGAGGCGAGACCGACGACGATAGGTTCGACTCCTGTGCATGGTGTCATTCGGGTGAACTGTCGAGGGGTTCGACACTAGGACGAAACGGTCATCCAGTGGTCGCAAGTTGTCATTGGTAATATAGCTAAAATCAGCTCAAGATTTAAACTGTGTAAATAAAACGGAATAAGTAAATTAGCGAGTAGAGAGATCAATAAATAAGGAGAATGATAGGATAATATCATTGTAAAACTAAAGGTCAAGGTCATGACAAAATAAGAGGCTGAATAAGTTTCTTTTTCACATATATTTCTGACTTTTTTTAGTCTAAAGCTGCGGCTTCAGCAATACTAAGAAGATAGAAGATCTTTAATGATATAACAGATATTTTAAATTTTTTTCTATCACTCTCGCATATACTACGATAATACGTTGATATGATGAGACTAGTCACATTATGTCAGATCCAGGATTTACGACCCAAAATAGAGAACCAGAGTATAGACTAGACAATACTTTATTCAATACAATTACAAACAGTCACTCTGAGTGAGTCTGAAGTAGAAATCAATGAGAGGCAAAGGAAATCAAATATTTAATAGTCATGAGGTGGTGTTTGTTTGTTCACGCTCAGTGACCAATCATACTTTCCTTTCACTACCACATACCAACCATCTTTGGTCGTTTTCTATTCATCTCGTAAACGACATTGAATCTTGAGTCTATTATGAGACTGACCTGCGTTTGCGAAGAATTCAATTACGAAGTTTCCTATGAATCAATCTTCGTCTCTCTTCAAGCATACCGTATATTGTTATTAAATCCTGTATTAGACTGATTTTCCTGACAATCTTTAATGAAACAGACTGACTTTATCAACAGTTATCCAACTATTCTAGTTCACTAGCTTTGTTAAGAAGTCTTATTTAGATTAACAAAATAATTTAATAAAACTAAACAGCCATAATCAAAGGCATTACCTACGACAAATCTAAATTTGTGTAGTACTGGCTAGGCACTTAATATCCCAGATCAAATAATATTAGAAATTAGTAAAGATAACATGGTACATAGTACACAGAATACATGTATAAGGAGTCATGAAAAAGTTCTCTCTTAAAAAAAAAAGGAGGGAATTGTTCATCACTAATCTATATGCTTCCTAAATTATTCCATCACATGAAATCGTAGAAACAATCGTATTATTCCAAATCAATTGGGCATTATATTGTTAAAATCAATGATAATTATGTTAAATGACCTCATTTGAATAGACAATAATAGTTCTTATTTAATGAGGATGTAACCAGAATTACTTAAGAAGAATAAGTCATATTTTTTATAATAACAAATATAAAACCATTAACAATAATGATGACATAATGAATTCACTCATTTAATTTAATTCCATCTGACCTGATTGACATTATTTCATAAGTTATAATCATGGTTAAGTAATATTAGATTTTTGTGGAAAATAATAACTTAATCCATCTCAAATCAAGGTTATTTTCTTTACTATTTTCAATTATCATTTATGTTCTTATTCAGTTGAATCAGAAAATTAAAATAAAAATAAAAAACAAGAATTTAGTAGGATAGTTAAGTGGAGTTTCTTATAAGTAAACTTCGAAGTAAACTATTTTATTTCTTTAGTTAAAATGATTATTTTGTCAGCTTAGGTCACTCGTTGTATTATCATTGTCTCATAAAAGACTGTTAGTTCATCAATTCAATATTTAATCATATATATATATATATATATCATAAGGGGTTTTGTGGATATTATAGTAATTTTAATAGTTGAGATCATGAGTGAATTGAAGCTAGATCATCATGGAAAACCTAGTGACTAGTGGAGTTCAACTGGGTCTGTTGTGAGATAGTAACTCAATAAAGACAATGGTGGATGTGTCGCTTAATTTCATGGATTAGTTGAAGTTAGATATTAACAGGGTTGCCTGTCGGCTCAATGGTCTAATGGTTGACAGTTCGTGTGCGAGACCGAT